CTCAAACACCAGTACCACCAAGAAAAAAAGGCAAAACTAATTCTTGATGACACATTAGAACAGTAATGGCATATGAGTGGAAAGGAGTATAAGGGAATTTTTCTGATATTAGAAATGTTCATTACCTTGAGAGTGGGGATAGATTACACAAAAGCATAATTTCTCAAAAGTCATCTAAGCAGAGGAGTGAAGAGGTAGCTAGGCAGTAGAATGACTGCCTAGCATACACAAGGCCCTGGGTCCAGCCTGGCAGAGTGGTTTGTGGTAGAGCACCTACCTAGCAAACACAAAGCCCTGAGTTCAAATGCGAGTAACACCAAAAGAAAACAAAAACATGTATTTCACTGCATATAAATTTTACTTAAGAAAAACCCATCAAACCCCAGTGCCACCGAGAAAAAAAAGAAAAAAAAAAAAAGAAAAATCCAAATGCATAAGTAAAATAAAATCCAAATGAGAAAAATGCAAATGTACTAATATTGTTTTAATTCCAGCAGTGAAAATGCTCGATTTAAGTCCTGCTTCAGCCAATTAAATGGCAAAATTGAACACCAGTGTGTTCAACCTGACACAGAATAAATTACTGAATTAGTAGGATAAAACCAGCATATAGAGTCAAATTTCTCCAATTTCTGCTACATAATTCATAATAATGACATTATCAATGAAAGAAAGAAAGAATGAAAGAAAGAAAGTTAGTTTTCTCAACCAAGGTGGGCTACCCAAAAACCAGAACTGAATTGTATGTAATGAAAAATAAGATTTCATTTAATGGTATATTGTTTAATAACAATATAAAAAACAGTATTTGATGAAAACCTCCAAAGTCTTCTGTACATCTTTCTAATAATATAAAACTCATTAATCTGCCAACTACTGTTTTAAGGACTTAATATAAATCAACTCATTAATTTTAACATCAACCCAATATTTAAGATAGATACTACTATCATCTCCATTTTACTGATAGGAAAATTGAGATATAGACAGGTCAAGTACTTGCACAAGGTCATAGCTAGAAATTAACAGAGCCAGGCTCAAATCGAACATAATTTGGTATCAGGGTCCATGCTTTTAGTCACCATACATTGACCTCTGAACTTCCTTTTTCTTTTTCTTTTCTTTGCTTTTTGAGAGGGTCTCGCTATGTAGCCCAGGCTGGTCTAGAACTCACAATCCTCCTTCCTCAGCCTCCCGAGGGCTGGGATTACAGGCGTGTACTACCTCCTCTCTTTTTAAACCATGTATTTGTGCAGAACTAAGTAGTCTTCATAAATTTCAAAGAAAACATCCGTAATAGACTGAATGCAGTCACAGATATGAAAATCTAGCTGCCTGTAATTAATCCAGACATTAGATTTTGTAAAAGTGTAACAAAATGCCAGTGTTTTATAGTTAGTGTTCTATAAAATGTCCCTTGCATTAGCATGCCATAGGCTTATTAAATGAATTAATAAATTAATATTTAATTTTTCAGTCCTATTTCCAATATGGTAGCAATCAATGTAATTCACATAAGTAGAAGCACTTTAGGTCCCTCAGTAATTTTTAAGAGGGTAAAGGGGTCCTGAGACTAAAACAAAACTGCTATCACTTCTCTCTTCAATTACTAAAATCATCTGTCTTTCTATAGCCAGAGTGATGCACATTTGACCAGGTCAAACTTGTGTTCATATCCTTTCAACAGCATTCTATTCATGGCCCCATAAGTCCTAAGTGATTAGCCCTAGATTCCCTAGTCATTTCTCACTCCATTCACCCCTTTCTCTATATTCTCTGAAATAACAGTAGTTTTCTACAGGGTCCTTAAATGCACCCAAGACATACCTTAGGGGTCTTACACTGACCCTTTCTTAGGCCTGAAAGGTTCCTAGTGTTAATTCCTACTCATCTTTCAGATCTTAACCACTGACTACTTAATCATTCCATAACCCTCAGGCTAGATCAGGACCTCTTGTTTGTTTATTTATTTATTTATATTTTTTTGTGGTGCTGGGGATGAAACCTAGAGCCTCATCCATACTGAGCAGGCACTCTACCACTGAGCTATATTCCTAGTCCAAGTCTCTCTTTTGTATGTTCTTAGGACTCCCTGCACATTTCCATCATAAAATCTATCAGTTTGGGAGATTATCCCTTTGGAATCATGTGGCTTAACAGCACTCTTGCTCATTTCACAGTGGAATAGAAATGTAAAAATCATGTGTGTGTAATTTATCTAATTTTTATTAGATTAAAATTTGCCTAGAGTGCCTGCTTTGCAAGTACGAAGCCCTGAGTTCAAACCCCAGTCCTGCCAAAAAAAAAGAAAAAAAAATTTGCCTACATATACATATATGTGTGTGTGTATGTGTATATCTATCTATCTATCTATCTAGAAGACCAACAGTTCTCATTAAATTCTTAAAGGGGTTGTGACCCCTATGTAGTGAAGAATTAACTTTATCCAAAGGGAAATCTGGCTTTTGCCACTGGCTACTGGGGGGTCTCTAGGACTTGGGAACTTCTGATCTATCATGATATGAATGTCACTGTTGGCCTGGTGACATTAGCTACTGGAAAAATGTAATCCATATCAAGAGCTTTGAGCCACGTTTTATTAGCTCCAACAACAGGAAGAAACAGAGACTAAAGGCATTAGTATGACCTACAGGAGGAGCTGGAGACTAAAGGTCAGCCATATGGCAGCAAGTGATTGAGTCCCAATAACTACTACAGACACTAAGAGTCTGAGTGAGTTTTCTGTTTTGTGGTTGGCAATACTCTTGTAGGTATTGTTATACACTGTGGCTGAGAGGCAGTAACAACATCCATGACCCTGTGGGGGAGAGGATGACAAGAAATTCTACATTTTAACCTCTCCCAGATTCTACCCTATAGGTGTGTCTTCTTTTGGCTAATTTTAACATGTAACCACTCCCTGTAATAAACTGTACCATTGCATTCAGTGAGTTCTTTGAATTCTTTCTAACAAGTTATCAAACCTAGGAGTGGTTATGGAGGCCCCTTACACTTGCCAGTGGTGCCCAAAGTGGGACAATGCAGACTGGCTAAATTCACGGCAGTGCTCAAAAGGTCAAAAACCAATAGGCTAGTGAGGTATGGTGGTACACACCTATAATCCCAGCACACAGGAATCTAAAGCAGGAGGATCCCCAGTTCCAGGCCAACCTAGACTACTTAGCAAGACAAACAAATAACAACCATTAAAAAAACCAAAAATCAAAAAACAATGTTAACTATGGATTCCTTGAGAGCAGAACATTATGTCAGTATGATACACAGCAGACCCTTGCTGTCTATGAATATAATTCCAAGAGTCCACCATTTAGGAAAAACCATAAATGCTCAGGCTGCATAGAGTGTAAACACGACTGGCAGTAACACAGAACATGTACTACACTGTGTAATGTACACGCAGGGACTTTTTTGACCACACATGGTCAAAACCATGTGCAATACAGGTAGGGTTACTGTGCAGCTTGGAAAAAAAAAAAAAAGGTAAGGTAATTCACTCTGAAGCAAGTTGACACTATCAGGACATCGATGTTTTCTAATAATAATAATACCAATATATTTATGAAGATGACAAAAGCAGCCACCATTACCACATGTCCTTACTGTAATCTTTATTTACAGATGTGGGAAATGAGTATTAGAGAGTAAAATAATTTGCTCAAGGCCACACTACGTGACAAGAACTGTATTTAAAACTTGATTTAGGGGCCGGTAGAGTGGCTCAAGTGGTAGAGCGCCTGAGTTCAAACTCCAGTACTATTTACAAAAAAAAAGACTGTAAAACATGATTTAACTATTTTTAGAGTCATCATGCTTTACTATGTCTCAGTATAAGCAAAGGAAGATTAATATTAAAACTCTGCAAAGGAAAATGGAAATACAGCATTATCATCACTAAAACAGTATCATAAAGTAACTGTCGGCACTTAAGTTCTTCTCCGTTAACTGATCCTTACTTAAAGCTTAGCTTTGAATTACTTCTAAACAGACCATGAATTATATAAGGCTAAAAACAAGCAAATAGAATACTAGTGTGCTGCATATTACTATAAAATGTTAAATACAAATTCCAAATATCTGAGGTAAATGTAGTACTTCTGCCAAAAAATCATCATACATGGTATTCCAATCCATAAGCAGTGAGCACCAAGTTCTTTCTTTCATTTTCCTCTATAATATTCTATTTTTATTCCTCTATAGCTTTCTCTCACATACTAGAATTGACCTCCTGGCCTCTAAGAAAGGTTAAGGTGAGTTAGAATCCATTAACCCATGTAAGACCAAACAGACTGTCTCAACTGAGTACTGTACCCAAAGGACTTAAAGTTCTTCCCAACTTGAGACTAGAAACATTAATAAACAAATAAAACACAGTTCTTATAAACATACATATATGTGTGTATATGTGTCTGTGTGTGTATATATATATATATATATACATACATATGTAGAGAGAGAGAGAGAGAAACAGACAGAGAGGAAATATATAACCAAGAGATACTCTGAATAGTTTTTAATAATCATAAGAAAAACATAAGCAATTCATGCAACTGATTATAATTAACTACATTAATTGGCTTTATGTAGGTCCAGAGCAAACATTATATTTTGAATTAGTATTTAATGATATTAGTTTAAAAATAACTATCACACTTCAGTAGATCTGCAAATCAATAGTCAAGTTGTTCTATGCCCATTTTGACAAACCAGTAATGATAAAAATGTCTTAAAGAGTGAAGCAGTCTGGATCTACATTAAAAGAATACTGAGTGATGTGAAATACAGGCAATATGAAGGAAAAAGATGAATGTAAATAAAACATGGGAAGAAGGGACATAATAACGAACTAAGCACACACACACACACACACACACAAATAAAACATGGGAAGAAGGGACATAATAATGAACTAAGCACACACACACACACACACACACACAAAACTAATGCCCACAAATAACCCATAGAGACAGAGAAAGTACCTGGAAAGCTGTGAGTGCGCCAGTCCCTGGGTTATACAGGCACCGCAGTGAAGGCATGCTGTCCGCCAGGCTGGAGCAGCCCAGCCACAGAGACCTGGGCATAGAGCACTGCAGAGAGAGGACAACTATGAGATGGGACAGTATGAGACAGGATGACACAGATTACAAGAATTTTCAAGGCTTGACTGAAAGCAATAACCCAGCTGCAGCTGGATGTTATGATAGAAACATTTTCAAGAAGTATATTACTTACTGTTTCTAACCTAAGAAAGAAACCCAGAAAAAGAGTACCAGTAGCCAAAAAAACAAGAGAACAAAAAAGTTACAGCTGGGGGTATGGCTAAAGTGCTAGAGCCCTTACTTAGCAAGCATGAGACCCTGAGTTTAAAACTCCCAGTAATGCCCCTCCCAAAAAAAGTTATGTCAAAACCATAAATATTTCAGAAAATTTTGTTCCTATTCTTTAGATGCATTTTTCTCTTTATGCATCTAAGGGAAATGTCCTTTACACAGCTGACAGATTCTTTTCCCTGTGTACTTTAAATTAACTCCTATAAGTATACCACAAGGTGAAATACTGAGCAGACTAAGCAGAAAGAGGAATACTTTGTGGTAGCATTACAATATCACAAATGGCAAATTAGAAAACAAAATACCACAGGAAAGTTGAGTATTCTTTAGAAGGAAAAGTATTGTATCTCTATGGCTTTGACATCAACTAAATAGTTTGCATACGTTTTATATATCTTATTAGTCTGCTATTCATTAACCAAAATGCACAGTTTACCATAGCAGCTGCCTCTTCATCTTTCCAGATGTATTAAAGGGAGCTGGGGCAAGAAACACCCAAAAAGAAGAGAAAACAACAAAGAAAGAAAGAAAGATGGGCATAGAGAGAAAGAACTGGGAAAGCTGTGGAGTTAAAATCTCCTCAACAAAAAAAGCGTGTATAAGTGTAAACACAGTGTACTTAGTAGCAATAAAAGGGGAAGGGGGTAGAAATTACAATTTCTAGAAACAATAACGATATTAGTATTTTTCACTTAGTTTTATAACACACTATGTTGTAAAACATTCTTCATATTTCTCCAAAAGTATCTCAGGCTGGTTTGTCCACCAGCTTGAGTGCTGTTTCAGTCTAATAAAAACTAAAATAGTAAATAATCCAACATTCTCAATAAATACATATATTTGAATATAGAAGTCACTACACATAGCACTAAACATTACGTTAGAGAATTTGAAATTTTGTATATCATCATTATCCTTTTTCTTTAAACTTTCTAATAGGAATTAATACTGGGTATGGTATTCACTGTTCATATCATTGATATAAGGATAATGGGTTGCAAAATACTCTAAAAGATGATCTGAGCTACACTAGTACTTTCAGATCATTAGCCTCATTTTATAGTTAAGGCAATAAATCCCTAGGAGAAATTAGGTACTCATCCATGTTCATGAATTTAGAAAACAGAAAAGTAGGGATGAGAATCCAGGCCTACCTAGTACAGAGAACTCTTAGGTCATAAAGTAGGGGCCACAGACTTCAAAAAAAGTGTATCCGCTAAAGGCACAGCTGGATGACCTATCAACCAAAACAATTAAATCACCTTGAACTGCTGCAATGTGACTTTTTTTTCCACTGTTCCCAGTGTTTCTTCACTGTAAGCTACAAACCATTTTACAAACAACAGCTGTGAGGGTCTGAATATGAAATGTCCCACACATTCTCGTGTTTTGAATGCATGGTCCCCTACCTTAATATTCTATTCAAATGCTTACCTGAGCCCTAACACCTTTAAATTCGTAATTTCCTTCTCCTTCTTCTATCAGTCTATATCTACATTTACCTCTTGTCTTCTTGAAATGAATGCTAATTTCAGTCTCTTTCAGTGGTTGTTACCAATAGATAATCATATTGGAAGGAGAAGCCAATAGAAAGGAGATTAGGGGAGAAAAGGACTTGAAAAGCTTCCTGTGGGTTGAGGGTATAGCTCCAGTGTTCCAGCCCCTGGGTTCAATCTACAGTACCATGCAAAAGAAAACAGAGGGGGACTTCCTTCCCCTTGAGAATCATTGATCCACTCATATATCTGCTCTACACTGGATGAATAAAAAATGCTTCATTAAAATAATTTTTGTAAGTAAATCATATTAAAATTTTCTTGCCAGGAGCCAGTCTCTCACACCTGTAATCCTAGCTACTCAGGAGGGGCAAATAGTTCACAAGACCTTATTTTAAAAACACCCATCACAAAAAAGGGCTGATGGAGTGGTTCCAGGTAGGCCCTGAGTTCAAACCCCAATACTGAGAAAAAAATTTTTTTGTTGTTAAGGCTGGTCAGGCGCCAATGGTTCCTGCCTCAGCTTAGGAGGCTGAGATCTAGAAGATTGCAGTTTGAGGCCAGTCCAAATAAATAGTTCATGAGACTCCCATCTCAAAAATAACCAGAACAAAATGAACTTCAGTTGTGGCTCAAACAGTAAAGCATCTTCTTTGCAAATATGAAACCCTGAGTTCAAACCCCAGTTCCACAAAATAATAATTATTATTTTTCTTAAGACTGCTGTTAATCAAACAAGTATTTCTTGAATAATGAAAAAAAACACCAAAATTCTTTTCTTCTTTTTCTTTACGTGTGTGTGTGTGTGTGTGTGTGTGTGTGTGTGTGTGTGTGTGTGTGTGTGTGTGTGTGTCCTGGGGATCAAACCCAGGGCTTCATGCATGTTAGGCAAGCACATTAACACTGAGCTCCATCACCAGCCCGAAAAAAATCTCTTTCTTCATGGAATTTACATTCTACTAACAACCTTAAATCCTTCTGTACTAAAAATCCATAATGTAAAAGAAACTCATTATTACGAATTGTTAGGTTATTACTAGTAAGGATGCAGTACATTATTAAGCTGTTGGTTAAAGTTCTGTGTAAAATGAGCAGAAAAATGTCTCAGTTATTCCTGAATTTGAGAAAAACAGTAGAGGTAAAAGCGGGAATAAATAAAAAGGGAGTATGAAGATATAGAACAGGAAGAAAAAAGGAAATAGTAGAGGGCAATGGAGTAGGCACTGGAAGATAGCGTGTCACTTCTCCCTAGTGCTTTCAGAGGAACTCAGTGGCTCACATATTTTAGCCATTCTGAAGTCACCTGCATGATGTACACACAGCACAGCTGGGTCTAGAAGCAACCAGAAGCCCTTCATCCAGAGACTTGGAATTCGTCTTTCTTATTATCATGCACGTATTTATTTCTATTTGTGAGTACAGTGCTCCATGATAAGTTTTTTAGGCATTCCTCTTGTAAATTAATTGTCTCCTCTGCTTTATATAAGAATGTTATTTTTGCAATATGTACCTGATGGATTATTATCTGAGCTTCCTTCCTTACTCATCGTAATGTTCTTCTTTCGTTATTGCATGCCTATCCTCCATCAAAACTTTAACAACTAAGAATTTGAAAGGGCTTACCCTATCTCCTAAAACTGAAATTCCAAAATAAAATTATGATCAATAATGAGCCACATATACCCTGGGAAGCCACTAGATATACCAGTGTGATCTTCAAAGTACCATTAACTTGCAAACACCACACAGAGGATGCATTCCTGATTATTGCATGACAATTGGTGTGGGTATGAAAACTGCACTTGAATATAGTCAAATCTACACATTACCGTAAGATTTTATATATTATGGCTCAATTTAAAAACTAATTTTCAAATTGTAAAAATTAATCATACTCGTACTGGCAAATGCCACTTAAAATCTTTGAGGAAAAAATACAATTACAAAATAAATGAAGTAGGCTATAACTTTTACTCTACTTCTTTCCTCTCCCTTCTATCTTCACATTTAGGAACATTTTTTAAATGAAGAAGGGAAAACTCAAAGGAAATCTGGGGGGAAAGCAAGAGAGTGGAAAAGACTGCCATTTTAATTACATCCCCATATGTATTCTCTGTATTTCAGGGCCATTCTGATCAGTCAGCTTCTACCAAAGATGTAAAGATTGTTTGTCCTTCATCATTCAATTAATAATGCCCTTTAAATTCTACCTTCAAAACATCTGAAAAGCACACAGTTTTCTACTTAACATTTGAGTTGCCCTTCTTGTTTCTTATTGCACATTATATTTAAATTTCTAAAATTCTCTCTATACCTTTTTTTTTGTGGGGGAAGGAGAATGTGCTGGGGATTAAATCAGGGCCTCATGCATGCTAGGAAAGTGCTCTACCACTGAGCTACACCATCAGCCCTTACTTTAATTTAGTGCATGCTTCAGCAACACAGATACTAAAATTGGAATACAGAGATTAGCATGGCCCCTGCATTAAAATGACATGCAAATTCATGAAGTTTCGTATTTAAAAAAAAATTTTTTTTAATTAAAAAGAAAAGGCTAAGCTGTAATCCAGCACCACAACTACATTCTCGTGTTTAAATATTTAACTTCTGTTAAGAACTTTAACATACTCCTTAAATGGTTCTTCTATGCAATCTCAAAAGCTACTTACACCAAAGTTAACAGATACGCCTCCATTCTACATAAATTGAGCCCCACAGCACATACTTGTTTCTTCAGCTCATTTTCCAACTAACCATACCCCAAATGACTCTCCTGCATAAAAATGAAGAAAGTTGGCTGGGGAAGTGGCTCAAGTGATAGAACTCCTGTCCCAGTTCAAACCCCAGTACTTAAACAAACAAAAAAAAAACTGAAGAAAGCTGAAGAATATAATAATTTATTTTAAATGAAGTTTTTGTCCAAGTTCACATGCTTTTAAAAAACATTTATAACATTTGGGGAGGGAGGATGAACATGTGTCCACTCCCTGAAAGAATGGGGATACCAGAGACTGCAATGTTGCAACACAAAGGGCCACGGGTGTTTCAAGAAGAATATAGTATCTACTGCCTATGTGAATCAATGGTAAAAATTCATTTACAAAGAGAACACTGAAAACCTCCATTCACCACCCCCCACTCCTTGACTGCCTTAAGTAATGTCACAGATCCTCTTCACTGATTTGAGGGCCTGAAGGCAAAGGACTGGCCTCAGCATTTACTATATGAAAACTGAATGACAAAATCTCCTAAACTATGGTCCCTGTTGGTCAACTTCTAGGAGTAACAGAAGCTATAATAATCAACAATAAAAAGATTGCTGCGCTGAGAGTTTACGTATCCTTAAGCCACAGAATTGAAGAATTCCCTTGTCACTATTATATCAACTAAAATCCAGGCCAAGAGAACCACAGAAGATCTTGCAAAGCATTCAGACTCTGCCTATATAAACTGATAACCTTTAAGAAACCCTATTTAATTCATTCCAAAAATGAAACTCCCACCTGTCATATAGGATGATCGTATCTACCTAGCTTATTGCACATTTACTGAAAAACTAAAATAAGTATTCCAAAATTTGCATAATACAAAATAAAAAAAAAGTAAAGTAGCATCACTACCAAGAACAGGCTGCTATAAATGTTAATTGCATTTCTGGGTATGTTCTGGGATAGCATTATGAACTAGAGCTCATAAAAACAATAAATTTATCCACCAATCAAATTATTTATTTTTCTGGACTAGACAGGACAGAGGTGGAGTACAAGCAGAGATCTAAAAACTATCAGGCAAAAATTGTTTGCCATACGTTGTACATTATTTCATTTAATCATTACTTTTTTCAAAGAAGTGTTAATACTGTTACTTTAACATAAGAGTAAATGAGTTCAGAGAAGTTACAATGACTAAACGGTGATGGCAAAAAATAAGGCCTCAGTGTGGCCAAAATCCATAGACTCACTACCACAAACATATGCTCTCAAGTAGTTTACACTCCATTTATTTTTTCCCCCTTTGCCCCAATGCTGCAAATCAAAACCAGAGCCTTGTATATGCAAGACAAATGTTCTAAGCTATA